TTGAAGTAGAAGAGGAGAAAAAGGACAGAAGAAGGAGAAGATGAGAGAGAAGAGGAAGGAAAGAGAGGATAGAGAAGGAGGGAAGAAGGGAGGAGGAGGAAAAGGAGAGGAAGGGGCTCTAGATAGCATCCAATCATTGCTATGTTCCACTTGGCAGGAGCACTCTGCAGGAGGGAGGGGCACTCAGAGATAAGACCACTTGGCAAAAGCAGGGAGAGCAGGAGAGACTGGTGCTGTGGTGGCAATGGCAGTGTGGGCCGAAGTGTGGGCAGGAGCAGTCTATGGGGCTGCACACTCAAGCGGGGTCCAGGTAATGGACACACTGGTTTTAGTCTCTCATGACTTACCTGGAGCTTTGATGATATTCTTAGCAAGAGCTGTCCTGGAGTGAAGTCTAGATGTTTCTTTCCTCTCTTTTGGGTTCTTTTCATCAATAACCTAGTTTTTTTTCTCCTCTTTGCAGATTTTTGTGGTGGAATGTTTTTACATGAACCCATTTCAGGAAGACAGAAGCAATTTCCATGATTTGAAATGCAGTGTTGCCCACTTTACAGCCTTCACTTCCACACTAAATAGACAATGTTTTTTCTTTTAGTTTGAGACAAACTCTCACTACATAGCTATGGCTGGCCTGGAACTCACTATATAGACCATGCTTATCTCAAATTCAGAGACCTCTGCTTCTTGAGTCTTGGTATTAAAGGTGTGTGCCACCATACCCAGCTAGATCTTTGTGTGTGTGTGTGTGTGAGAGTGCGCGCGTGCATGTGTGTTTTATTTTTCTCTCATGAACTACATCCCAATAGTTTCCCCCTCCATCCTCTTTCCCTCTTACACCATCCCCATATGTTTTATTTTTTAAAATTAAGAGCGTTTTGCTTATGCGTATGGATGGATGTTTTGCCTATACATATCTATGTGCACCATGTGCCTGTCTCATACCTGCATTGGCCAGAAGTAGACTTCAGAGCTTCTGGGAGTGAAGAAAAGGCTTCTGTGAGATTCCATGAGGTTGCTGGGTGCTAACCCTGAGACTCCCTGGGAAGCAGTATGCACTCTTAAACACTGAACCATCTCTACTGCTCCTAGACATATATTTCTTTTCTTTAAGATTTATTTATGAATGCCTGCATGCCAAAAGAGGGCACCAGATCTCATTATAGATGGTTGTGAGCCACCATGTGGTTGCTACAAATTGAACTCAGGACCTCTGAAAGAGCAATCAGTGCTCTTAACCTCTGAGCCATCTCTCCAGCCCAACATATATATATTTCTTAATTTTTCTTTTATGTGTGTGATGCTGGGGCTCAAACCCAGGCTCTTGCAAATGTGAGGTGATTGCTCTACCATTGAGGTACATCCCTAGTCCTTTTCTGTAAGTCACAAAAGAAAAAGGATTTAACATCGAAAAGTCATTTTAAAAAAACAAAAAACAAGCAGAGTGGTGGTGGTGCAGGCCTTTAGTCCCAGCACTTGGGAGGCAGAGGCAGGTGGATCTCTATGAGTTCAAGATCAGCCTGGTCTACAAGAGCTAGTTCCAGGACAGTTACTAAAGCTACACAGAGAAACCCTGTCTTGAAACAAACAAACAAAAAATCCAAACCAACCAACAAATAAAAAAAATGGAGCTACTTTTTTGTCCTCCAGGCCTCCAGCAGGGTGGGCTCCTGCTGGATTCCTGCTGTTGTGAAGACCAACATGGCACAGCTGCACATGCTGCCTGCTCTTTGCTGGTGTCATGGTGTTGGAACTGGGGTGCTATAGCATATCCACTCCTTGTACTGCTGCATTAATGTCCTGCAAGAACTTGCTGCTGACAGTCTCTCCAATCCTGAGATTCAAACTGCTGCAGCCAACATAGCAATGGGAAGTGTTGAAGATACCTTCTGGGCACCAGGCTTCCTCCTCAGATGCCTTGGCCCTGCCTCTAAGGGAGAGAACCCTTTAGTCTCTGGGACTTGGGAAAATGTTATCATTTTATGGTTTCTCTGTAGGGCTCTTAATTCCACAACCACTATCTATTGCTGATTCTGACTTGGAGGAATGGGAGCCCACAGAGATCCAGTCATTGCTGTGTTAACCCCCTATCTAGCCACACTGGCACCTTTCATATACCCCCAACTCAACTTCCCTTTGCTTCACTTTAAATTTTTTTTTAAAAAAAGTGCTTAAACATGCTACTTATAAACTGTAGAGACACACACAAAAACTCAGAATCAACCTTCTTGCATATAGGACCTACCTACACACCAGGATGAATTTAAACATGTGACTACCCCTTTATACCAGTTCTGAGGAATTTGGAATACTAATTTCTTCCTTTTGAACAAGCCTATGACACAACATCTGGGCCTTGCTTTTTTCATCTTTCTTTCTTTTTAAATTTTTTGACACAGGGTTTCTCTGTGTAGTTTTGGAGGCTGTCCTGGAACTAGCTCAGTAGACCTCTAACTCATAGAAATCCACCTGCCTCTGTCCTGAGTACTGGGATCAAAGGCATGTGTTACCACAGTCCGGGACTTTGGGTGTGTGTGTGTGTGTGTGTGTGTGTGTGTGTGTGTGTGAGAGAGAGAGAGAGAGAGAGAGAGAGAGAGAGAGAGAGAGAGAGAGAGAGAGTCTTATTAGCCTTAGCTGCTGCTCTGGGACTTGCTATGTAGACCAGGTTGGTGGTGAACTCAAATTGAGACCTCTGGAGTGCTAGAATTAAAACCATTCACTACCACACCTACCTTTTTGTATGTGTAGGGACAATTTATAGGAGCCAGTTCTTTCCCTCCATCATGAGTGTCCTAGAATCAAGCTCAGGTCATCAGTTATGAGTCTGCATCATCATACTCTGGCTTTCTTTGTGGGTTCTGGGAAATGATTTCAGATACTCTTACAAGCACTTTACCAACAGAGCTCTATCTAGCCTCCTCCAAGCTTTAAATTACTACATAATATAAGAGCCAAAGTGGGAAGTACATGCCTGCACTCCTGATACCAAGGAAGCTGAGGCAGCCAACCTAGACTCCACCATGAACTTCTGACCAGTCTTAATGATAAAACCCTGTACCAAAAAAGGAAAAAGAGGTAGAGGAATGGCTCAGAGGTTAAAAAACACTCGCTCTTATAGAGTACTTGCGTTTGGTTCCCAGTATCCAAGTTTACAAGTGTCTTTAAAAAAAATTTCTTTTTTTAATTGTGCATGTGTTTGTGTGTGTGTCTGTGTGTTTTGCTGACACGTATCTCTGTGCTTCTTAGCTGCTGGACTAGAGTTATAGATGATTGTGAACAACTATGTGGGTGCTAAGAATTGAATCCTGGTAGCTAGCGCTTTCAATCTCCCCAGCACCTTTACAAGAGCCTTTACCTGAAGTCCCAGTGGGATCTGATGCACCTCCATGACAACTTGCAATCACCCAGCAGTTTACTACATCCCTCAACAGGCCTATCCATTCAAATAGATCCTCTTGCAGAGGACCAATGGTTCCCAGCACCCATGTGGTAGCTTACAGCAAGCACCTACAGGTCCATAGTGCACATAAACTCATGGAGGCACATACATGTACATACAAAAAAGGATGCAAGGAGTCCTGGCACACACCTATTCCAGAACTTAGGAGGCAGTGGCTAGCCTGAATTTCCAGCTATCCAGGGTTACCTGCATAACTCCTGCCTCCTAAGGGAAATTAAAGGCATGTACCACCACAGCTTGGTGGGATTAAAAACATTTTTAAAACTAAAGGAAGCCAGAGGCAGGTGGACCTGAGTTTGAGGCCAGCCTAATCTACATGTCAAGTTCCAGAATAGCTAGGCTACACAGTGAGACTGTCGTTCCCCCAAGAGGGGGAGCAACCATGATTTTTAAATAATCTAAGTTGACCAAAATGGCTCACAACACCTATGACACCAGAGCGGATTTGTAAGAATAAACATGGAATGCTCAACTACACTCATGCTCCAGCCACACCTGGGGCTGGAGAGACGGCTTGATGAGTGGCTTGCTCTTACAGAGGACCAACGTTTGATTCCCAGATGGTCACTCTCTTCTGGCTTCTGTGGGTAACTAGATTTGTACAGTGTACACACATAAAGGCCTAATACATGTCAAAATTCTCAAAGAATCTTGCAAGTTACACACACACACACACACACACACACACACGGGACTTTTATGCCCCCTTGTGGTCATTCAGAAAATTTACTGGAACCTGCTACTAGCATTAGGAACACTGCCAAGTAACACCAGTCTCCAGGGATCATGTTACTTCCCACTTAGGGTTCACAAATGACCAAATCTAATGTTTACTGCCACTCACTGACCTTGTGTTTCCAGTGCCCAGCAAGGTAAACCTGTGCTATTCACAAGGGCTACCACCAGTATTTGGTAGACTACTTCACTAGGCCAGTATTCTGAGTGCAAGAAAAAACAAAAAACCCCATGCCTCTCCAAACCTGTCTCCAGGGCTCTTCCTGGTGTTTATGTAATACAAGGCAGAGTGCCTGCACAAAGCAGAGAAGGCTCCAAGCCAACAGAAGGATGCCCAAGTACCTCCAATCAGGTAAAAGGCAAATTTCTACAATTTCCAAGTATGTAGATGAGCATACTACATCTATTGATATAGTAAACTATGACCACCCCAAGGCCTGTTTTGGAGGAAAAAAAAAGCCAGACTTTTAGGTTCACGGCTGCAGTGCTTACCATGTGATACACTGAGCTCAATTCCTAGCATTAATAGGCAGCCTTGCACCTCTGTGGTTAACCAAAGCTCACAATGCTGAAATGAGAATCAGGGATGCAAACTCTTGGAGTACTTTCTAATACAGAAGAGTTGACAAAACCCAGGCAATTGTTCCCAAGAAAAAAAGATGCAGGGGCTAGAGATGGCTCAGTGATTAAGAACCAGGATCAATCTCCAGCTCCCAGCTATCTCTAATCTCAGTCCCAGCATCCTCACAGACACATGTAGATGAAACACCAATGCACTTATGATAAAAAAAAAAAGACAAAACCCAGCTTTTGCTTTATGGAAAATTTATTGCAATACTGCAACAGCACATCACTTTTTCTTTTCAACATCTTGCTCTGCAGCCTCCTTTGCCCTTTTTGCTCGGATGCCAAAGAGCCGGGCATTGGCTCGGGCCATGCGAAGACTGGCAAAAGCCTTGAAGTTCTTTTCTTCTTCTGTGATAACTCTGGCTTTTTCCTTTTTGTAGATCTGGAAAAAGACAGGTCAAGGTGATTTGGATTGCAACCTACCCACAGATAACACTCACTGCCTGAACTCTCAGGAGCTACAGAGCTTTAGGCACATACAGAACCACCCTCTAGGATCAAACAAGTTACCACAATATTTGGAAGGTTGAGGTAGGAGGATCCTGACTAGACTTCAAAGCAAGTTCTATTCCAGCTTTGGCTTACATATGGGGACCCTGTCTCAGAAAATAACTGGAGCCATGATTTCAGTAAAGGCTATGGCTGGTTAGTTTTATGAAATGTAAGAAAAAAAGAGCCTCAATTAGGAAAATGCATCCACCAGAAGATTGGGTAGGTAGTAAAGCTAGGCCGTGGTGCCATACACCTTTAAAACCAGCATTCAGGAAGCAGAGGCCAGCCTGGTCTGTAGTGAGGAGGACTTAGGCCATCATGAATGGTAGTCCTGGGTTCTATACCAGCACTGTCTCCATGGCCTCTGCACCAGCTCTTGTCTACAGGTTCCTGCCTTGACTTTCTCCAATGATGGACCATAATGTAGAAGTGTAAAACAAATTTGGTTTTGATCATTGCATTTCATCACAGCAACAGATGTGTCATGCCCCCCTTCAGGTTAGAACAAAAGCACCCCCCACCTCTAGCACTCAGCATTCAAAACAAGTAAGGCATGATAGATTAAGGTCATGCAAATTTTTGAAAGGAAAACAATGCCATCACTTTAAAAGATGGAGGTTAGCCAGGTGGCAGTGATGGCATACACCTTTAACCCCAGTACTTGGGAGGCAGAGGCAGGTAAATTTCTGGGTTCAAGGCCAGCCTCGTCTACAGCACAGGGCAGCTAGGAATAGAGAAGCCCTCCCCAACAAAAATTTTTTTTAAAGATTGGGAAGTTGTTCCCAAGCAGTCTCCAATGTCCATCACAACATTCTCCACCTGCCAATCTTATTTAAAGTATTAACTTGAGCCTAAACAGCCTCTACTTACATTCCGGATGGGCATCACAGGTCCTGTTAGCTGGGTGGCCAGTTTAAGTTCTTCAGCCTGTTTTTAAAAGAAAAGTCAAATCTAGTCACTGTTTTGTCTTTCACTCATTGCCTTGGGTGTGCTATTCCAAGGGAACAGGCTGCCTGGGCCTGTAGCACTCAGCATTTCATGGCCCTTAGAAGCTGGCTTACTAGGTAGGTACAGGAGAGGTCCTGTTGGATTGAGGGAACATAACAAATGTACCTTCTTCTAATCCCACTTTGAGGAAGGCCCTATGGACACTCACTGATACTTGTTTCGAAATACTAAAATACTCGATGTCCAAAAGTGTAGGGGGGCAAACAAACCCTCAAACAGCAAGTTAGGCCCCACATCAGTAGCCACCATTAAAGCACAGGGATTTCATAGCGGCTCGCTCAGTCATGACTTGCAGTGCCCACTTTGCCATTAGGTGTCAATCCCCTCATCTGGCACTGAAGTATTATGTAGTTACCTCAGCAGACCTGGATCCAGGTACACAGACTCATCTACACTGAACCAAACCCCACACCCCGAAGATCTGCTGTACTCACAGAACTATCTCCCTTCTTTGGAGCAGAAGGCTTCCTGGGGAAAAGTATGAGCTTGGAGCGGTACTCCTTCAGGCGCTGCACATTGGCCTGTAGTGATTCGGTGGATTTGTTTCGCCTCCTTGGGTCCACAGAGATGCCGATGGTGCGAGCCACTTTCTTATGGATACCAGCCACCTGTCCAGAAATAGAAATGGATGAAACACCTCGAAGTCCCTCTCCTGCTGCCTCCCCCACCGAAAAAGCTCGGTGTTATCAGATGGAAAAGGGTTCAAAAGTACTTTCATCAAGACAGTACAGCGATTCCGGAGAATGTCATCATTCCACCGAGGCCAAGAGCACTCAACACAGAGACCCTGCTGAACTCACCCTGAGTTCTTCCAGGCTGAAGCCCCTGCCAGCTCGGACCTTGGTGTGGTATCGCACTGTAGGGCACCTCACTATAGGCCTGATGGGACCGGACGCCGGGCGTGGGGCAATGCGGCGCGCTTTCGCCTGCCGGGCCTTGCGTCTGCGGTAAAATCGGAAGAGTCACCTCCGGCCCATACGCATCCATTCCGGCACCCCGCCCTAGCACCACGCAAGGCCCGCGCGCCACACACCTGCGGATCTTGCGTGCCGGCTGGTTGAACCAAGTGTCCACTCGCCGCTGCCAATCCTTGTGGAAGTGGGGCTTCAGGATCATGCCATTCCGGCTGGGCGCCATGGCTGCCTAAGGCCATGAGGGAGAGGAGGGCGGCGGGTGAAGGCCAGAGTCCCGAGCTCCCGCCCCGAGTCCTCCCGCCCCTGCTCTGGCTCTGGCCCCATGCCGTCGGCGCCCAGGCTCCTCCATAGCTGCGCAGGCAGCCTCTCCTCGCCGATGGCAGCGGATGGAGCGCGATGGAGCCCGATGCAACACGATGGTGGCGGCTGGCAGTAAGACTCACCTCCTGTGCAGGAGAACGGCCGAGCGGAAAGGACCGAGCGCCGCAAAGCACCCTGGGGTTGTAGAGAGTCTGGCCAATCCAAAACACCAGCGCCCTTTAGCCAATCAAAACAGGGAAAGGGGGGAAATGGCGTCATGCGAACCCGCCCACCGGCGGGCCATCGCCTCTCTAGCCGTCCTGTTCGTTTCTCGCTGGTCCCCAACCTCGCATGTGAAAAGGTGACTAGGTTTTTGTGGGGACTGCTGAGTCAGAGGAGCACAAATAGGAAAACGCAAAAGACTTAGGAATTAAAGCCCTAAAAATCCTTCTTCCTGCTGGGTCCAGTATTGTTTTCCCCACTCCACTCTTTTTTTTTTTTTTTTAAATTCAAGACAGGGTTTCTCTGTGAAACAGTCCTAGCTGTCCTGGAACTCAACCTGTAGATCAGGCTGACCTCGAACTCACAGAGATAGATCTGCCTCTGCCTCTCGGAGTGCTGGGACTAAAGGCATGTGCCACCACCGCCCGGCCCTTTATTCTTTTAAGAGCTTTGGTCTCTGTATTTCCCAGACATGCCTAGAACTCAGGCTCCCCTTCCTCTGAGCTGAGATTACTGGCATGTACCGGACCACCATTCCCGACTTTGTTGTTTTTAGTTTCTGTTTGAGTCTCATGTCTGCCCCACATGCATGCAGTGTTCTTGGGGGCCGGTAGAATGCATCTGATTCCCTGGGACTGGAGTTATTGACAGTTGTGAACTGCAGGGAATTGAATCTCTGGAAGAGCAAGCAGCCAGTGCTTCTAACTACTGAGCCATCTTTCCAGCTCCAAACTCCCCATTTATTTAGATAAATCCTTTAGTTCAGGATTGGGTGTGACCAAATACATATATTGAATTCTTACCCACAATGGCATCGACAACAACAAACCATGAAGCAGCCAAGGCATATACCTGCCTTACATCTGTATGCCAATAACCCTGCCTTTTTTCACTCCCCACGCCTGGTGAAAATTCCATTAAAGAACCGTAGAAATGGCTTGTAATTGAGAGGGCTGTAAAATTTTTTTTTAAATCTGCAAAATGCTGCTATAATTCACATTGTGGTTAGGCCTGGTGTCACAGAGTTGCAATCACAGCTGTTCTAGAGTCTGAGGCAGGACAACAACAATTTCAGTGCTTACTTAGGCAACTTAGTGAGACCATCTTTCAAAGTTAAAAAAAAAAAAAAAAAAAAAAAAAAAAGGCCTTGCAGGATGGCTATCAGGTTAAAAGTGCTTGCTGCCAAGTTTGACCATTTGAGTTTGATTTCTGGGACCCACATGGTAGAAGGAGAGAACTGAATTCTTCAAGTTGTGTGCTGAGCTCCCTACAGGTACCATGGTATATTCACACACACACAGAAAATGTAATGAGGACTGAGGATGTAAGTCAGTGCAGAGAACTTGTTCAATTCTCAGTTTGGGAAAAAAAGCCACCTTTTGTGTGTGAGGGGATGTGGAGGTCGGAAGATGATGTTGGAGATGTTCTCTGCATTTGTTTTTGTTTTTTTTTTTCAGACAGTTTCTCTGTGTAGCCTTGGCTGTCCTGGAACTCACTCTATAGACCAGGCTAGCCTCAAACTCACAGAGATCTGCTTGCCTCTACCTCTTGAATGCTGCAATTAAAGGTGTGTGCCACCATTGCCCAGCTTGCTTTCCACCTTTTGTTGGACAGGGTCTCTACTGAACCTAGAACTTATCAATTCAATAAGATGGAGTGGCTGGCCAGTGGCCTCCAGGGATCAAACTCTGCCCTCTCTCACTCTTTCCCAGGGTTATAGACAGGGGCTACTCAGACCTTCAAGCTCTTTACTGACTGAGCCATCTTCCCAGCCCAGAGAAAATATTTGTTGGATGAATGCCTTGATCCAAGGTATTCATTTCTTTGAATGAAAGTCACCTAGCATGTGTTTTCTCAGACCTGTTTTTATGTTCCCACCAAGTACCTGGCTTTCTCTAATCTCAAAGAAATTTCCATCTTCACCACCAACTTTTCTTTCTGGACTTGGGTTAACTACTACTAATCTAAATCTGTACTCGAGTCTAGCTCCAGCTGCAGCTGCAATGCTGCCTGGGACACTAGGGTCTGAAGGAGAAACAATGCTTAGGATCAAGTTAGCTGAAAGGAAGTGCAGCTGTGATCTTACATTTCCTCTGATACATAAAAACAAAATGGTCATAGAAGTGAACAGTTATGCAAAGACTTGGCTGATGCAGTTTTTCAAGCTCTAGCTATAGGTACAGTTCCTGTTCTGCTAGGCAGAGACTTCTGCAGAAGCAGTTCTACCCAAGAGCTTGTTGGATGGCACCCTTGCAGGAGAGGCATGCTGTGCACAGGACTGTAATCTCTTGCATGATTAGCCCCAGTTTATGGCTGTGATGTGATGATTCTGAGGCAAGCTGTTCCTGAAGTAGTGCCTCTCTTTCCTTCCAGCACTTACTGAAACTTAGGTATCCGGGAGCATCAGAAAATTCCAGCCTGGGGTTGGTGGGGGGAGCATGAGAGGATGAGAGAATTCGGGAATTGGGATTGACATGTAAAACAAGCTTGTTTCAAATTTAAGTTAAAAGAAAATTCCAGCGTAATTCAATAATAAGATTTCTTACCATTCATAATGTGGGATTCCTTTAGACATAGGTGGTTATGAACTGCCATCTAAGTGCCTGGAACTAAATCCTGAGTCCTTCTGCAAAAGTAGTAAACATACCAAGCAGTGGTGACACATGCTTTGATCCCAGCACTCAGCAAGCAGAGGCAGGTGGATCTCCGAGTTTGAGACCAGCCTGGCCTACAGAGCAAATTCCAAGATAGCCAGGTCGAGACAGAGAAAACCTGTCTCAAACAAAACAAAACAAAAAAACCAAAACAGTGGTGTTGCCCGCATTTAGTCCCATTACTCGGGAGGCAGGGTCAGGAAGATCTCTGTGAGTTCAAGACCAGCCTTGTGTACAGTGAGTACCAGGACAGGCTCCAAAGCTACGCAGAGAAACTGTGTCTCAAAAAACAAAACAACAAACAAAAGGACACAGAAAACAATCATCAAAGAGAGCAGTAAATAGTCTTAACCACTGAGTCATTCCTCTCCAGTCCCCAATTCTGATTGTTTAAAAAAAAAATCTATCAGAGTCACATAGTATTTCTGGCTGGACTTGGTGGTAAACACCCATAATCCCAGCAATCAGAAGGCAGAAACATTTTGATGCCGACCAGGGCTACATAATGAAGACCTGTTCTCAAAAAAAATTAAGGCTGAAGAGATGGTTCAGTGGTTAAGCATACTTACTTGTTCTTACAGAGACCTGGGTTTGATCACCAGCACCCACATGGTAGTCACAACTATTCTCAATTGTAGTCCCAGGAGATCTAGCGCTCTTGTCTGACATCCATGGGCACCAAGCACTGCACATTTATACATACACATATTCAGTCAAAATATTTTTTCAAATAAAATTTTAAAATCTTAAAAAAAAAAGAAGGTAGGCAGAAAAGGACTGTTTCAATGGGTGACAGTTTTACATTGGCTTATTATTATTCACTTTATTTTAGAGATAGGGTCTCATTATGTAGCTCTGGCTGGTGTGGAACTGTTAAGTCTACTAGACTGGGCTTAAAACTGATCAGCATTTGCCTGTTTCTGTCCTGGGACTAAAGGCTTGTGCCACCAAACCTGGAACACTTATTTTGTGTGTATGGATCTGGATATATTTGTGCCCTGGCACGGACTGGTAAGAGGACAACTACAGGAGTCCAGTGATTGAATTCAGGTTAACAGGCTTGCAGAGTCATCATGCTTGCTTAAGACACTGCTTTAGAGAAATGTAAAACCTAATTATATGCTAACATTTGGTAAGAACTAGAACTCAGATCAAATGTAAAATGTTCTTAAACCCCTTCAATCACCGCAGCTGCTCTTGCTGGTCTCAGGGGCGCCAGGAGACACCTAACCAATTTGGCCAAGGTAAGAGCAATTACCCAGGGAGGGGAAGAAACTCCTAAAGCATACCTAGAGAGATTGATGGAGATAGGCTTAAAAAACAAAAACAAGACAGATAACAGACTAAGAAACTGAGCAAAATCTTGGCCACTGGAGTACAGCCCAGATTAGAGACAGGGAGGCAGGAAAGGCCCCTGGGAGGCAGAAGGCCGCCAGCCTCTGGACCGTTGGCTCTCAAATGCACGCATGGCCCACTACCAGACTCTGTTCTTGGCTCCAGAAAGAATATAATTTGGGCCAGTAACCTCCTTGAACCTCGCCACCCACCTGCCGGACCCAGGTCATGAAGAAAAGGTCCATCATGATTGCCAGCAAGTGCTGGCTGAAGCGCATGGAACACGCCCAGACCTGACTGATCAACCTGCCAACCTGCCAGATGCGACCTGGGGAGGTACTGAGGGACGGGAACAGTTTCCTCCAAGAAGGTGAGCAAAAAGCTGGGGCTACAATGGGAGAAACGGCATAGTGAGCTGAACTCATCGTACTCACCCAGGCATTATACTGATAGCTGGTATTCTTTCGCTACCACGCATGTACATGGGAAATTTAATAAGCCCTATTCCTGCCTAAGAGACTAAGTATTATGCATTGCCTGGGCCATCAATGAGGAGACAATCCCACTGCCAAGGGGAACTGCCTAGCAGATGAGACTGCTAAGGACTTCAGATCCTGCCTTTGCAGACTAAACCTAAATAGCCTCCCAAACAGCCTCGGTTCCAGTACTCAGCTGAAGACCTAGCCGTCCAGAGCAAGATAGGTGCAAAATATGAAACTACCAGAGGGTGTCAGAGCCAGAGGCCATCACCCTGACATGTATTGGAAAGTTGACTTCACAGAGATCAAGCCTGGCATGTATAGTAACAAATATTTGCTAGTTTTTATAGATACATTTTCAGGATGGGTTGAAGCTTTCCCCACCAAGAAATTTTTCCCTGGTTCGGCCTGCCTAAGGTAATAGGGTCAAACAACAGACCTATTCTTGTCTCCCAGGTAAGTCAGTTGGTGGACAAATTACTGGGACTTGACTGAAAATTACATTGTGCCTATAGACCCCAGAGTTCAGGATAGGTAGAGAAAATGAACAAAACAATCAAAGAGACCCTAACAAAATTAGCGCTGGAGACTGGTACCAGAGACTGGGTTCAACTC